TATGGTACTTCACTCAGATTGTATCTGTAAAATCGCCTGTATAAATGGGTACCAATGTGAGTTGCTTTGGATAAATCTATTATCTACTCTAGATCAAAACAGAAAGTGATAACATAGCCCGATCCACTCCATTACTGCTTCAACTAATTTGGCTTGGCTTTGAGAGGTGAATGTGGGCTTTATTTTTTATTTTTTGCTTTACTAATGCTCCGCTCTGCTTGTTTAATTGTAGTACAGTTGACAATACCTATGCCATTAAGGGCAAGATCAAGGACATTTTTAATGAAGATCTTTGTACTACAGTATGAATGAATTTTTTTGTGGCCTAGACTTCTTGAAATGAATATTTTAATTCCCCACTCGAAAAACACTAAGGGAGAAAAAGGTTGCAGTTCACTGCAGCAAACACTCAAAATGGTTTCTTTCTGTTCTTTGGTCTTGAATATTTGAAGAGGAGCCCCAGGTGCTAATGGGGACTCTGTAGTCAACTGCTTTCAAGAACTGAACATAACGTGATATTTTAACCAACAGGACATGCGGAATAAGATTTGAAACAAAGAGGCTCAGAGTAAGATTTCATATAATAGGAGAAGATTTCATATAATATGCTTTTGTGTCATACTGTCCTCTTTTTTTTTTTGCTATGAAGTGTTTTTCTTATTTCTTTGAGATAATAACCCCCCCCCCACACACACACACACACACACACATTTTATTTTGGGATCCCAGAAGGCATGTAGGGAAGGAGTAAGCAAGCATAACATTTTAGTTTTACCCTTTGTCCTAACAAGTCAGGATTGTGACACAGAAAAGGCAAGACCTCGGAAGCCTGCAGCACAGCGCTGACATCTTGCTATACTGAACATTTAATTGGGCATGCGTTCTAGCTGTGAACATATCTGAGGAAAACCCTCAAAAGGCATATAATATGGCAGGAGCAGAGATTCTACGTAGTGTGTATGGGAATGTAAAGAGCCCCATGGCTCTTTGAGAACTGATTATTCAGACAAGAATGGCAAAGCAATTGTGCTTGGAATCTTCAGCTGCTTCCAGATCTCAGTGACTCACAATAGCTTGCTTGCCTACATAGACTTTGATCATTGCAGGCTGCAGTGTTTTCTTCTGTCTTGCTTGCTGCAGATGTTGTGCTTTGTGATGATGTTTACTGTGGAAAAGGAGCTCTGCAATGAATATTATTAGGACTGATCTTAGGGGGGGGAAAAAAGGCCTATTTTTTATCCTATTGGCATATCATGTACGTGGAAGGACAAGGTTTATCAGCTTCTGGTTGTAAGTCGCAGCGATCTTTGACTTATTTAGTATTAGAATGAATCTTGGTGGCTGTTGAAATCGTACAAGACGTTTACCAGACGTCATCTTGATTTAAAAACCTAACATTTTATACTTTTTGATGGGACTAATTTTCTTTGGAAAATAAAAGAAATCATATTACACACAACGCATCTGATGCGTAAAAAGCTAAAAAAACAAATGTCTTTTAATTTTCTTAATAGATTTTTTGCAGAAAGGTATGTGTTTTTTACAATTATCCTTCTGGTTCTAAAACCCTCAGATAATGGTTATTGCTTTAATAGCCTTAATGTTGATGTGCTGCACACCAGCATTTGATTTATAGCTCCTGGTATAGAAGTATTTTTGGATATCCTTCTTTCTCTTCCATAAACCTGCTCTGCAGATTACAACATAACCAATACAGTTTTAAAGTACATTTCTCCTATTGTTGCCTTCTATCAGAATATGTTCGGTAGTGTACAAAAAATGGGCCGACTCGTGTCAAGTCACCCAATAGGGCGTTGGGCCGCCATGTGCAGCCAGTGCCAAAGTGCCTACCAGTGTCTGGAATTCAGCATCAGGTAGGATTCGGCATCGCTCTTTCATTAACAAATTCCATCTTAGGTGTCATTCCAGAATGTCTCAAATACTCAATCGCGGTCAGATCCGGTGAGTGCGATATATGGATAATATAGGTGTCATGCTCATCACCCAGAGGTTTGATCACATGTGCTTGGTGGATGGGTCATTGCCATCCTGGAAGACAACCCTCCTGGCAGGAAATAAAAGCCACAACATGGGGTGGCGATGACCACTAGGTACCATTAAGGAGTGATGAGCATTTATCAAGGTGTTTTCCATTTTCTGTCCACTACCTGTAGGCCTAAAACGCTGAATGAAGATGAAAGATTCTCCTCTCTCGTCACTTTTACAGGCTGTCACCAGAATCAACCAGAACTTGGCTCTTGATGTGTAGTTAGCCAGCCCATATTGCTTATTTAAGGCTTAGTCAGCCATGTGTCACCCACTTCTTAATCTGAATGTCCTTCAGAGAAGAAAAACAACAGCAATTTTTTGTGATGGAGACATTTGTTATGCACCAAAGGATTTTCCTTTTTCTTTTGCACTGGGCATTTTTGGGTTTTCTGACTGGGCCTTATTGCTTTTCTTATGTTAGACACCAACTGGGACTGTAAGCTGGAGATTGTTTTTGTTTCTCTGAAGCCGAAGTGCTTCAGCTCCCTTTTCTGCTCCTAGTCTCAAAAAAAAAAAATACATTCCTTAAGAAGAATGTCAGCTTTACGTTGACCCTAGACTTCCTTCAGGCTCAGTGAAGTCGACGCCAAGTCCCTTTTCGATGCATAAACCAATCAATCTGATGCTTTTTCTCTCCTTGCACACAGAAAAAGGTTACTTTCACAGTATTATGCAAACCATTTCTGGGAAAACGAAATGAAGTGCTGTACACAGAATGTTACTTGTGGTGCCCTGTACTCAATCTGAAACTGTTTCTACTGTTTCTGCTTCAGTGCTATTGGGCTGATATGATTAGTATCTGAGGTTAACAGTGTGGCTGAGTTTTGGATCTCTGCATTCATTGTGGCAGCTCTGGGCTAGCAGATTTTAAGGCGAGCTTAAAAATTAACTCATGAGATCCAGATTTGCGAGATTGTCTTTGGATTGTCCATAGTAGCCTAATAGATGCGTTGCTCAAGAACTGAGATGGGTGGGTAATCATTTTTCTCGGTGGTTTGTGGTTTGTTGTTTGTTATTTTTGATTTTTGACTTTTCCTTGTTTTGCCTGCTCTTTGTACATGACTTTCAAGTACATTTAGAGTAATTTGTTCAAATAAATTAGTAATCTCAAGTGAGACTCTTAAGTCTATTTCTTAGACGTTCTGATGGCTTGGCTTTTAAATGTAGGAGTGCTCCGTGCAGTCTGATAGACAGGAAAAGCTGTGCTGTGTGCTCCATTCAAAGAGAATGCTCGAAAATTTGGTCACACATTAGGGACTGTAATATTACACTTTCTAAATAGATATGCCAGCTGTTAATGCATTTCTAATACAGTTGCTCTTTGGATTTATTCATACTACCCATGAAAGAGGAACATCTTGGAAAGATTTATGGATTGGAAAATGTGTCCTTCTGAATAAAAATTTGTGTTGTGATCTAAATAGCATTGTACAGTAAAATAGTCATATTTGTCATAACTGAAGTCCAGAAAACACAAGGTTCACATTTATTCACTGCCCTGTAGTTAGTATTGTGTCAAACCTCTTTTGGCAGAAATCACACTGGCAAGATGTCTCCTGTAGTGTGCTAAGAGTGCCTGCAGCTAACCATTTCTTTGTTGATGTGGATGTTTCTCATCTCATCCAGGGTTCCCGGGCCTTTAGATGCAACACAACCCCCAAAACACGGCAAACCCCATCGCCACATTTCAGTGCGCTTGAGTGTTTTCTCCACACGAGCTGCTTCTTTTTTTATACCGGGCATCAAGATGATAAGCATGTCCCCAAAGCTGAATTTCTGTTGAGTCTGACTAAAGATGTATTTAGCCCTCATAAGAGGCTTCAGCCTAGTCACCTGGCCATGAAGGCTACATTCATGTGGGCAGCATTGCATACACAGAAGATGATAGTTTGTGTTAAAGATCTCCAACTGCTGGCCTTTGGATTTGTGGTTGCTTGCCTCGCAACCACTGGTGGTAAGATAACTCTTCCTAGCAGGGTGACCACTATACCAGAAGCTTTAAATGTCTTAATAATGGACACTGTCGGGGAAGGTGTTAGGTTCGTCTTACTATGGATTTTATTAGCCAAGCTCAATTTATGGAGGTCGCATTTACCTGCAGTCTTTGAAGAACTCTCTGACCGTAGCTGCAATGAGGCTGCTACGACTGATTGTGTTCTGTGTGTTGGCTCATTTGTAAACCCCAGGGAAATGGGCAAACTTAAGCGGTCTCTGTGTGGTTTTGGAGGGTTCCAGTTCACTTCAAAAAGAACACAATGTTATTGTAGATTTGTTTTTGTTGAATTTTATTTCAAAGATGTTTGACTTGTGTTTTCTATCATTCAGTTATTGACTTGTATGACTTTGCTCTGTGCAGTACTATTATTATAATATAATATTTGAGCATTGTTTTACGCAAGGTACATTATACGATCCATAACCCTTTTTGACATACTATATGATGTTTTGTGTTTCTGTTAAATTGGGAGGGGAGAGGAGGGGGGGTGGGAGTGTACTTGGAGAGCAATTTAGATGAATCAAGCTACTTTCTGCAACTTCTGGTTAGATGTGTGGTCCAGACTATGCTCAGGATGAGGGATTTGTTTCTAATGTGCAGTTAGTCTACAGTAGAAGCTGGGTCTTGTTACAACCCCTAATCTAAAATGTTGCTGAAATTCCACTTGCCTTTTTAAAGTTTTCTTTAGCGCCATCTTTATTGATTTGCAGTGGATCATTAAGCTACAAACCAAGGCTGCCAGGAGATTAGCTTTTTTAGCCCTCTGCCAGAAGTGTTTAGAGAATGGGGTCCTGCACAGTTCTTGTTTCAGCCAACAGGTGTATAAACGATATGAAATGCCACAGGGACAGTGGCGTCCCTTGCAATTATTTTTGGTTGACTGACCGAAACACTGATGCATCTCAAACCTCTTGTCTCTTGTTTTTTTTTTCTCCTCTCTCTCATCTTTCAACAGGCCAAATCTTGCATCTGTCACATGTGTGGCGCCCACCTCAACAGACTCCATTCCTGCCTCTACTGTGTCTTCTTCGGCTGCTTCACAAAGAAACACATTCACGAACATGCAAAAAACAAGCGTCACAACCTAGGTAAGAATCTAACTGCACATATCATCCACCCTTTTTCACCCGCGATTCGTCGTAAGACATTCCCAAATAATCAAGACGCCTTACTGTGGTGTTGCATTACTCTGTGGCAAAGTCAAGTATCCAGTAGTAGAGAAGGAAAACCCAGGACTTCTAACAGACATTATGAGCTTTGCTGATGCGGTTTCACCTTGTGACCTGCAGCACTCACCTTAATTAGTCCTTTTAAGATATTCAATTACAGGTTCCCTTTTAATCTATGACAACATTGGTACCACTTTCTAGCCTGACCCGATCAAATCTCGCGAGCGAAGAAAGGCTGGGCCTGGTCAGTCCTGAGATAGGAGACTTCCAAGGAAGATGAGGCTGCAGCTGAAACTGGAGCAGTAGATGGCTCTCTTCATTCTGGAAAATCATTTCCAAAACTGCCCCCCAGCACCTCAGATTGGTGACGAGGCAAACTGCACCGGAGGAGGTGCCATTCTTCAGAGGAGATGTTAAACCATGGTGCCAAGTGCTTGATCAATGAAGTGCTTGGTCAATGTTGCACTAAGTCAATGAAGTGCTTGGTCAATGTTGCACTAAGTGGAGAGTAAGGGTGTTTACCATTGTGTTCTGGTTAATTTCCCCTAGTGTATCTTCCCTGACTCCCCTAATTCAACTGGTGAAGCAGTTTTTTACTTCTTCACTGGATCTGCTGAAGTGCTTTGAGAGCCTTTGTGTTGGAGGGTGCTAGGTTTCATATTGTTAATTAGAAGCCATGCTGCAGAATCCCCTGATGTATTCCAGTTTAATTGTATAGACAAGGTATGGAGGAAATGGACTTTCTGCAAAGGCGGAGCAAAAATTAGTGCTTGATTGGCAAAGTGAAGAAATCAAGAAGAGTCAATCCCCTCGATCCATATGTTTCATATTGATTCAATATACTGATCAAACTGAACCCATAATCAACGGAGTGTAATCAATACCCTGTCCATGCAGAGTCAAGACAGGGATGGGCACTCTTTTCAGGTTTTTCCAGCCCATTTTCATATTGGAATTTGATGCTGCATGAAAAAGGCTGCATCATCAAGGCATATTTAAACCTGTAAAATAGTTCCTTGTAACACTATCCTAAATCCCAGAGCTCTAGATGAATCCAGGCAACAGACTCCAGGGAAGTGTGTGAAAACCTTAATTACAAAATGGCACTTGAAGGCTAGAGAACATTACAAAAGTTAAACCAGAGCTTTGAAATCAGAGGAGACATGGATGATATTGAAGGCACTAATGCAGATACCCGCCGTTTGTTGATTCATAAGTGACAGTGGATCACTCCACTAATATTAAAATGCTTGATTTTGAGTGCTGCAGCACAAATTTAGAATGTGCATCGTTAAGTACTTTGCACCCTGTTGATAGGATGATTTCAAAGAACTAAAAGCATCGCTGCTCCACAAATTCCTCACGATGGGATTCTTTGAAATGAACAGCCTAAAAAGGTATCTTACCTGAAGCCAGTGTTTAATATTTAACTGGCACTGAAAACGTAATATCTTATTTAATATCTCCTTACAAAGTGCCCTTTGCGATAGAGGCAGAACTCTCCTTTCTATCCAGCAGGTGGCAACCTGCATCCCCATTCATGTGAGGGCTTTTGCATACTCAGCCCATGAATACTGGCTACAGGACCATGCTGGTACATAATATTACAGTCACACTGAAATCCTTGTTTCTAGTCATAAAAATCTAAAATCCATTTTTCAAAACCATTTTTAGAGTTTTAACAAACCCCGCCATGAATGGCATTTCACATTTGCAGCTCATGTCCTTATATATGGAAATCTGCTTATACGCAGATCCTTACATTAGTAACTTTAATTAATTTCAAGACGAGGTTTAATGTGTTAGTGCAGTTGCTATTTAGTATTCTTTCAGTTTTCATTTTTGTGATTTTTATTCCAATTAACAGTAGCTATATCAGGTTTTCTTATTGGACCGTGTTCACGTGAACCTTCTTACCTCAGCACACCATGGAAAGTGCAGTTTTTGAAGACGGCATCTTCACCTCTCACTTGCAGCTATGTTGCTGTTGATGAATCACGGTGATAAATTCCCCACGAATTAAGCTCTGTTTTCATTTTGAAATCCTCTCCCCATACAAGCACACTGCCCCCACAGTCAAGGAGCAAAAGAGGTTCTGTGTTTATACAAAAAGCTCTTTCCATGAAGAGCCTTTCAGACTTCCATACCAAATAATGTACAACAAGATTAAAGGTTATAATTATCCCCTATACTTAATCAGGTAGGCAGAATATAAAGGAGGAACCAACATAAGAGGCATAACTGGGTAATTGTATTCCTCAGGACAATAATTGCCTCTTCAAAGTATGGAAGAGGTGAGTGCAGGCATACGTTGGGAAGGAAGCACGCATTTCATGTGTTGTGTTCCAGAGAGATTGTTATTAAACCCTCAATCTTCCCTGGGCCTCATGTCGTTTTTAGCTCAGGATACGCTGTGAAATCTGCAGTGCGCAAACACGTTGATGATCTCGGCGTTTAGTTAAAACACCTGCTGAAAACTGGCGTGCTGAAACATTTTTTCGGGAAGATGCGGAGGTTAGCATAAGATTTTTTTTTTTACTGTACCAAAATCTGATCACCTTCGTTTACGTGTTTGCCAACAGATTTAGAATAACCTTCAACTTAAATTGGAAAATTCCACTGTAATTAGCATAGCATTTAATTGAGGCATCTGTTGAAGATGATTAAAAATAATGCAGTTATTAAATTTAGTTCTATATCCTGTATTTAAATATATTTAATGAAGACATAGAATTATCTGTGTTATCATACTTAGTGCTGTAATAAGTAGATTGTTGTAGAGGGACAGCAGAATATCAGAGCAGTAGTCAATTGTACACTTCACTTAGCATGGTTGTGTGCTAAAATGGAAGAATGGTTGTGTACCAATTGTGTGATTGAGGGAATGCAATAAACATACTAAATAAGGATCCCAAATTGAATGCATGTAGACTTAAGATGGTAATAAAATCACTTGGGTGGTTCTCTGACATGTCTGTAACATGGGTTACTCACTTTTTCAATAGAAAAGTGTGAGATGATATTGCAAAGTTGCCGTGTGCGCACAAAAGCAAGCCGAGTCTAAAGTGTAAAACCAACCCTGGTGGAGACACACTGACTCCAAGCTGTTCATCCATGGCAGGAACCTATCTGTAACTTGACAATTTTATAATGCAACCCATACAGAGTTTTTACGTAAAGTTGGATTTATGTAAGTAGTGCTTAACCAAGGGAGAGTTATGCATGGTAAATCCGGGTAATCCTCACTAGTGGGAGACAGGAAAAATGTTACAACCTAAGAGTTGAATCCCTCCTTGGTGGTAAACTTTGATACATCTGTCCCGTCTAAACTTCATTTCCCAATCAGCAGTTGCTCATTTGTTTCTAGAGGAAACGTAGTGCCACAATATGATCAGGATTAAGTCACATAAACTTGTAAACGTGCCATCCATCTTTTTAATAAAGTTTCCAGGTGTCATTTAGAACAAGCGCTTCCAGAAAATCCCGTTTGATTAAAATAAGAGAACTAAGAGAGAATGCCCGTTTATTCTTGGACCGGGAAAAATGGAGACGTTAACACGAACCGTCTGATTCCCGGAGTTTCGAGTTAAGCAAGAGCTATGATCCTCGGGACGAGCAGATGAGTAGCCGGAGGGTCAGATTATTTGTGTCTGCCCATTTTGGCACCTTCACCCGACGAGGCATGGAGCCAGGGCCGATCAAGATGCCATCTCTGCCAGGCAAGCTGCTACACTTTGTTATTCCTTCACCCAGGGAATCCCTGAGCTTTGATGGGTGTGTTCACTGTGCTGGCTGTGGTTAAGGGAAGCGATACCTGACTATAACTAGCATTAAGACGTCAAGTTAAGCATTTTTGTAACTGCGCAATTTTATGTTTAATGCTCATATTAAATCAGGCTTAGTTTCAGGCTCTAGTTGCATTACTCCTCCCCACCAAGAGAGGAAACCGAGACGGAGACAGATCTCGTAAGCTGTAGAAGTAAAGTGATTGTTTGTTTTTTTTTCCTATTCTCTCCATGATAATTTGAGACGGTGCTGTTCAGTTTGTGGCTGCCGAGAATGATGGGAATGTGGGTGAACAGGAAGAGTGGACCGAATGTGCGCTGTGCAGTTCTAGTTGGGGGGTGCAGTCAGGCACAAGCTGCTGAGGTACGAAGAAATCATTAGCTGCTAGGCTGAATACCTGATATGAATATTTACTGACTCTAATGTTAATACACAGGAAAAGGAAGTAGGCTACCTAGCAGACAGGTGCTTACTGAGGCTGTTTCACTGACCTGGATTAGCAGTAGTCCAAGACGTGCTTGGCTCAATTAATCTTCAAACATTCAAATCGTTAATTAATTGCTCGTTTATTTTTTAATTATTAATTTGTTTAACACATTTCTGTCTAAAGTGACTTATAATGGAACCTGTTCACACAGCTGGGTATTTTACTGGAACAATTCAGGTGAAGTACTTTGCTCAGGGCTAGAATCGCAGTGTCTCAAGTGGGACCTGAACCCCCAACCTTCAGTTACAGCACAGAGTAGATTTTCAACAGATGGCCCTTGAGTATTCTCTTCCTTTTTGTCCCGGCCTTATGTGGGCGAGGAGGAAAGGATAACAACTCCTTTTTCTTTGCAGGCAAGTAAATAGGAGTTTTGTGCCCCACCCCCAGAAGTTCAATTAGCAAATGAACGCTTTGACGGTTAATTCACAAGGAGACGGAACTCGTTGGTGTAGCTGTCTGTCTGACTTTCTTCCAGTTCTGTGATGCACTGTTTCTTTTCGGCCTCCAGAGTTCAGTTCAGGAACAATTAATTCGATTATGAGCTTACAACGACACAAGGGTCTTAACAGGATGAAACTAGAGAAGTGAGAATAACCTATATTCGTTCAATAAACATTACAGTTCTTACTCTAGGTTAATTATTTTTTTTCTCTTTCTACGAAGATGTAATTACATTTACGTTTTTTTTTCTTGTTCCCATGGTTACTCCCAAGGCTTGTTATATTGAAGGTTTTTTTTATCTGCTATTAATCTGGCTTCAGCTTGTCATACAGCTTCTCAGCTATGTGATCTTTGGGAACGCCAATTTAGGTAGTCATTTTGCTGGAAAACTAATATTCTGCTAGTGTAGGTAGATGAAATAAAGCAAGTGGCAGTCTAACTTTGGAAGAATTTAGGCCCAGACAATATGGTATTAGCACCCTCTATCTCCAACGGTGGTATTTGTTGTTGTTGTTTTTTTTTAATTCTCCCAGTACAGGTTTGCAAGGGAGCCAGAACCCCTCTGGCAGAATCTCTACAAGAACTGGTGCGAGGCAGGGTACACTCAGGACAAGGTGCCAGTCCACACAGACACTTCCACACTCTTGCCTAAGGCCAGTTGTCCCAGAAGCTAATGAACCTGTCAGTTTGTTTTTGGATTGTGGGAGGAAACATGGGCATGTGAAACATGTGAGCACGGACAGATCATACGAAATCCATGCAGAAAGCACAGCAGGTGTGGAATAATAACCCGTCAGACGTATTCTGAATACCCACTCATCCTAGGAAGCCACAGTTAAAATTTCTAGTGAATGAAGACAACCGAGAGTTTGAATTTTTTTAAATTAGCTATGTTTAGTATCCTTGATAAATCACCACACTGTGTCAGTATGTACAGCCGCAATTTTATGCTTTAGGATGTGTCATGACTGGGAGATATTTTTTTGAGAAGTGGTCGGCCTTTCTTTAAAAAGAAGCACAGGTGTCGGTTTCAACCACATGACTGGACATCAACACGAGCACCTCCCAGACTCCTCTTTGCGTAAAGAAGTGCCTCCTATTCTCCATTTTAAATACACTTCCAGGTAGTTTCCGATTTGTGTTCTTTGTCTCACCGTTGTTAAAGTAGAAGTCCGATGGGCTCAGTGCGGATGAGGATTTGGAACATTTCTATCAGATCCCCTCTTAGTTTCTACTGTTGAAGGCGCATAAGGTTCAGATTTTAAACTTGTCAGTGTGATGCTGCTCCAAGAACACTGATGCCACAGAGAGTACATGTTCCAACATAATCTCAGCGTAGTAAATGTCATTTGAAATAATTCTGAAGTATGGAAAACGGTAGATTTACAGGGACAGTAATGAAATCCCTTGATACTAATATGACAGGGGAGTTCCATAAACTGCTGCCCTCATGAAGCATGATGAAAACTGTTCTTCGTGCCTGGGAAGAAACAAAACAAATTGTCCTACTTATTGGAGCTAAAATAGTTCTACTTTTATTCATGGCATAGAGCAGCATTCTGCATCTGGACAAGGGATATTAAGTCTGAACCGTTGCAGAAAGATTAAGGTGTGATAAACAAGCCACATTTTAAAAAATCCTAAATAATTTAACTGGGTTTGATTTGAAAACACAACTTACAGTATTTGTGTTCGACTGGGCTGCACCCCCCCATCCGATGTAACAATCGCAGGCCAGCCAGCGAAACAGACGCGAGAGAGAGCAGCACTGGCAGCCAGGAAACTGAAGGATGTGTCGGCTTTAGTCGAGGTTCTCTTGGCAAACGCGGGGTCTGGGGAAACATGTCAATTTCACTTCTTCACTCCGTGACAAGAAACTCTCGGCAAACAAATGGGGTGCTATCTGGCTTCGCACTTGCACATTTTTTAAAGTTTGGTGAAAACTGGTCTCTGATCAGGATCGCTGCTATTTTTCTACTTTGCCTGTTTTGCTTCTGTTTGTTCTGTAGGAGGAGCAGGGGGTCTCTAAACATGGCAGGCTTTCACTCTATTCCATTTGTTTCCCTATTGATAAGACGCTGCACACAGTTTAAAATGATCAACACTGATGCCGCACACAGTTTCAGGAGCACCCAAAAAACCCCAAACCTCACAGACATAAATGCCTTTAGCTCTTTTCTAAATGTTTAGCTTATTTTCTTTGTATGACAAAATCAGTGTTTCAGACAAGTCACCCTGACCCTCTCACGCCTGCGCACCAGTCTTTGAACATTATCCTAACTGGCATTTGGCAAACTGAAGGTGTAACTGGAGCCTTTCCAAGACCCTTAAAACAACAAAGCCTCTGCTTTGGTAATGTCCTTTCATTTATGCAGAGATATAACAGACACATTGCAAAAACTACAACAGTGTTTATGGCTACAGAACCCTCAGTTAGAAGGACTGTAATATAGGATTGTGCATGTGAATATAACCTATACTGCAGTTTAGAATGACTTCTGTGCGTACACTTGTCAGTAGACCTTTTGAAGTTTATTCATATAACTAGATTGTTTCACACTGGAAAAGATTGTTTTTCCCACAAGAACGGCTGACCCCTTTGAATGACATGGACCATTGGGCTTCTGTAAATCTTGACATCTAGGCGATCCACACCCTGCTGTGCAAGCGCGCCACCTGGAGTCCAGCAGCTTGCTGGTGCAAGCGGATTCTTCCTGCGCAAACACTGCAGGGCTCGTGTGGAAAATGATTGTGGTTTTGGCTCGATCATCTTCCCAGTGGAAAGTATGCCTTGGTCCTCCGTTTGAGAAGCATTTAAATCGGTTTAGTTTTTTCAGTATCTCCAAACTTGCACTTTATAGAATAAAAAGCCTGTTCTCATTATCTTGTGCAAGGAGTGCTAGTTCATTTTTCTGAGGGAAATATTCATGACGATCTCTTTGCTGCTACAAATCTGAAGCCTTTCCTCAGCGTTCAGGCAGTCCCCATCTGTCTTGGCTATACCCCAAACTTTCTGTAATCTCTGATAATCTGCGATATTTTGCATGGAGAATTTTGCAACGTCTTTCTGACTATCAATAGGTTGTCAAGGCAACAGCAAACAGGTACTGTAGCAGTGCTGGAATTGTTCACGCACAGCTATGAGCAGGAATAGCAGATTGAAGTGGGTAACATGGATGGCCTGGCTTCTCCTGTTGTGAAGTTCAGGGCTGCTTGGAAAGAGGATTGTGTGAGGACGACGCAGTCCAGAGCAATGTGAAGTTTTCCGTGGAAAAGAGTCAAACACTCCTTCTGACACTGAATTTGAGATGTGAAAGGACTTTTTTTATTTTCAGTACTGCCGTGGTTACAAAGCAGTTCTGCACAAAAGCAGATGAAGTTGTTGGGTGGAGAATCTGAATGCCATCTTCTGTCGGGACATTTACCAGTTGCTGTGGGATGGAGAAATGTATTGGCAACCTTGACCAATAAAAAGAGATTTGATACTTCACTCGGAGATCCTAGAGCCCCAGTAAAGGCCTTGCAAAACCTGCAATTTATACTGTGTCTAATCAGATTAGAGACTGTGTGTATGAGCTTCATAACATCCTTTTTAAAAGTTGAGTTAAATGCTTTAGCTTAGGTTCTTCTTTGGGGGGGGGGATAAGCGAGTATCTTGTTGCCTTAAATAAGCGCGTCTTTTTCTTAAGACATCAGTTGATGGTAGGTTATGTGCATCCCGTTCAGTCTACAAGAAAGCCATGCAAAAAGTTCAGAGAAGCCTGGCAGATGCATTTTGAAACATTAAAAGAAACGGAGTCCTCCACACACTGAGCGTCGGCTCAGAAGCTGTTCATGAAGGGGGATTAAATACGTCTTTGTTGGTTGAGCTCTAGGGATAGGACCTTGTGAGTCTGAGCCTTGGTCATGTGTCCGGGCAGCAGTGCGCACCAGCAGGGTAGGGATGAGATCAGCCGGCCTGGGCTTTTGTAAGCCTTGCGTCTAAAAAGGGGGACTTTCCTGACTTTCCTGACCTGATGGGCGCCTGCGGACTTTCTGCGCCACCGGCGAGAGACGTGCCGCTCCCCCTCCAGTCGGCGCTACCGCGGGCGCGTCGGGAGGTGGATGGCACTGCAGGTGGGCGTGTCAGAGGAGCACATCCGCGCATCTTGTGCGCCGCCAAGTACGCTACTGGGGTCGCTGCCAAATAGCCACGTGGACTTCCACATTTTTGTAAAGAGAAATTTCAAAATTGCGTCAGAGCCTCCGTCATGCCAGAAACCAAAATACTTGTTTGAACAGCAATGTTTGGCAAGGTTAAATGCCATGATATCTTTACCCAGGCCAAATGGCCTATTCCACAGTAGCTGGATTGGACAGGTGCTTGCCCACAGTAGAACATATCTTTTTCGGATGGACCTCCGTTCAGAACTGTAAAGTATTTTTTCGCGGTTCGGCATTTTGGTTTTTTTTGGGTGCCCTTCCTCGAAGAAATTCAGGCTAACTAATCATAGTGTTTTCTTTTTCTTTCTTACAGCAATTGACCTATTATACGGTGGTATATATTGTTTTATGTGTCAAGACTACATATATGATAAAGACATGGAACAGATTGCCAAAGAAGAACAAAGAAAGGCCTGGAAATTACAAGGTATGTGGCTTTTTCGGACAGAGTTGTACTGGAAAGGTAAATCGTAAGCATCAGTTTTATATAACATGAATTGGAATACTTCTTCCCCATCCTTGCCTTAATGCTTAAGATTCTGTTCCAGCTTTAATTATTGCATTTAATGTGACTGTGTGGTGTTGGCCCTTCTTAACATTGTTTTAAGTTTCAGTGAAGTGTACTTGTTAATATTAATGACTTGTTTGCAGCAAAGGTGTCACTTGCTTTTTAGCTTGAATAGGCACACACTTAAACGTTGCATGGTAGAAGTCTCTTTGAATGACACTACAAAAGAAATTCCTTCACTGTTTTTTTCATTTAAAAAGCCAGAATGTCTGAATGTTACTTGGGGGGCTTAACACCAATAGAAAAAAAATGCCACGTTTAAAACTAAGTTGAATTGTGCAACAAGCAAAGCCGTTTTCTGCCAGGCAAAATGTCGATTATTTTAGATCTAATGGTTCCGTTTAATTTTTTTTTTCCTGAACCCATGAGCCATAAGCCATCATTGTTAATGCATGTATTAAACACAGCCATGAATAAATAAATGTGTATACCTTCAACCACAGCTAAAATTAATTCAAAGTTTCAAGTCCACCCCCCCCCCCTCCCCCATCATTTATATATCATAGCTATGAAATTCAGTTGATTAAAATGTGTGAGAAGAACAGTCTCAAATTAGTATTACTACAGCAGGATAGATTTAATGACCAAGTTCTCCTCAAAAGGCAGTATGTGAGTTAGAAATTGTTTCAAATGCTCATTCAAATTCCAGTAGTGCTCCAGTTGCATGGAATCTTGGGACAGCTCTGCAGACCTGATAGGTGATCACAGATTCACCAGCCAATGAAGGCGTCCATTTGGAGAGTGGAGGCGTTTCTATAACCCAGGCGTTACTGGGCCACGTGACCAAAATTCCTCCAGGGATGATGAATAATTTACACTTACCAGCTGGGTTTGCTTGATTTGTAATAGTAATAATCCCCTGGCGGTGGCTGACTAGGCATCTGCGAGTTTATTAGTGCCCAGTGTGCAAGTGATGCTTTTGCTGGGCGGTTGGCTCTTTGGGTTTAAGCCCTGCTCGGGCTGGGGGAATTGGATGGCCTCGCAGTGCATTTTCAGGACTGCATATATTATGTGGATCTGCTAGGATGAGCAGAGCTGATTCGCTATTGATGAACCCAAAGTGGGACTTGTAGTACAAAACCCATATCTCCATAAATCATGCCGTTTGAGGCAATTAATCTTCTCGACAAACTCTTAAAGGAAATCAGAACCCAAGGGTATTGTTATCCTTTGTTGCATATTTTTTGCAAAGGGGATATTCACACAGTTAGAATATTTGCGCGGATCAGATTTTTGCGGATTATCTTCCAGCCAGATGGGAAGAACTGAGGGAAGGATGTGCAGGCGGGACGAAACTTTCTGCAGACTCCTTCTTGAGCTGCAGTCCATCATCTCTCCGTAGGAGTTAAAAAAAACCCCGGAACCTGTTTGAACTTGAGCATCATCCGGATGCATCTCTACCGTTTTCATCTGCATGTGGTCTCTTTTCTTTTCTCTTGCCAATTGTCTTTCGACTGTCAGGTGTGGGCGAGAAGTACTCAACGTGGGAACCAACCAAGAGGGAGCTGGAATTACTACGGCATAACCCCAAACGTCGGAAAATAACTACAAACTGCACCATCGGTGAGACCGGTCTTCCGGCTGCAGCCAAACGATGTTCAATCGTCCGTTCCGTATCCCACAGCTGGTATTATAACTGCTCAGCAGGGAGAGGAGGAAATGGGAGCCATAATGGAAGTTCGGCAGAGTTTTACAAACTCAGAAGTGTTTCTTTGCCAGGTTCTGTGGGAGTAAATCTGTTGTGTTGATACCTGCTAAATGAGGTTCTCGTTTTTTCGCATCTGTGAAAGATGTAAAGTCTTTCCCGCCATCATTGACATATCACGCCTGTGAAATGCAGTGGATAAGAATGTTTGAGAAGAACAGTCTCCAAATTACTGTTACTAGCAGGACAGATTTTAATGAGTTTTTTGAAATGTTTCAGACGCTCATTCAAAATTCCAGTAGTGCAGGAATTCTGGGACAGCTCTGCAGGCCTGATAGGGGGGGATCATGGGTTCATCAGCCAATGAAGTACTTCTGCTCAGGCTGCCCTCTGGGGCGGCAGTCTTGTTTTCTCTTTTTTTTTTTTGCAGTCCACACCTTTTCCAGTAGATCGTTTTTTATTATGATTTCGGAAATGTCTGCAATCAAGGACTTAAGAGCAGGGGAATGTGCCGACTTGAATTAATAATTAGCCGTCGGGCAGGTTTCGCCACTTAGATACCAGCAGAAAAGTCAATTCTACACCTTACAGTTTTTGGAGAATGCACAAACCTTAGGCTACGCAGCCAAACGTGTTGAAAAGAGAGAGAATTGAGCAAATCTGACACAGAAGGCACTGCTGTGCTTTGCGTTTGCTGCCCTGGCACAGCTCCCCTTCCTCTTCTGCGCCTGTGAGACAGGAGGAATCGTGTGTTCTGTCACTCTCCTGCCTGTGGTTGTGAACCGTCAAGCTTGTGCGTCGCTGAGGTGGGCTTCATTTTGCGAAGGAGGCTCCTCCCACACAGGTCCCTGACACTTGCGCTCCCGTTGTGCTAAAAATATCCTCTCCCACAACCCACCCGCCCACCGCCACCACCTCCCTTCCCCTGCACTGAGTCATCGGAGTTGTGCTACAAAATCAATGAGCCACCCGAGTTAAAATGTCTCAGTCGTCTTGAGTGTTGCCGCCTCCCCCCCGTCGCATGTGGCTGTCTCAGACCCTGGCTGCCATCGATCATGTAATAATCCTGGGCCCCAGCAAATCTCATTTAAACTAACAAGAAGATAAATGATAGATGCAGCACTCCAGGATTGTTTACAGTGTATTAACATCAGCTGACCGACCTTACCGATTTCACGATTACAGAGAAGGCTTAAATACCATGGAGATGGTCTGGTTTGCTGCAGGATAGGACAGTGCAGTCAGTTTTGTGGGCAGAGGTATTTTTAGAGGAACAGGCTATTTTTTTTTTTTTAAACCTTTTATGACATGGAGACTTCACATTCACCTTGTCTATGCTAGGTCACTGTAAAGCGTTCTGGATTTTAAATTAAGTCATCAGTTTGGTGCAGTCTTGAAGCATCCCAGACATATTAATGGTGATTAATGGTCAAGAAGGCATTGGGTGTAGCCTAGGTCTGGTTACCAGGAGATGCTTGGTTCGAGCCCCAGCTTTGCCACTGGCGCCTTGTGTTGTCTCAAGTTATTTAGCCTCCTTGTGCTCCATCCTTACAATAAGATGTAAAACCAGGGTTCTTTATTCTTATTAGCAGTATACTCAAAGGAACTGCATTGTTTAAATACAAGTAGAAAAAAAATAAAAACTACCAGTTACTCTTCTACATGTATAGATAGATTGATGGTCGTTTAAATGCTTTATTCAAGGCTTGGAATCCTTAGGAATCAAACATCATAGTACCCTGTGAAATGCTTTTTTTATTTTTGAGTATCTCTGTGTAATTTAAGCTGAAGGGTGTCTTTGAAAACGGAAGGAACTTCTTGAAAGATGTTAATTGAGAAATTGTTTTTTCTTTTTCAACCTGCATTTTCTTTTAATTAGTCATCAATTATGACAGAAAGTGTCTTTGGTGCTCTTTCCTGCACAGTTCAGTTTTCTTGTTGGCTATGACTCAATTGCTTTTTGTATACTAAAGGCTGAGTACTTGAAACTGTGTTTATAACAAGCCAGGAGTAGGATATTTGTAGTGTAGGCGTTGGGTGTTAATAGATTGCGACATTTTTACATAATCCAAGTACACTTCATCCCCATGTGTGGCTGGAATTGGGGGATATGTAAATCTGCGGGGGCCATGGGTTCGATTCCGGACCTGGAGTGTTATCGGTGTGGGGTTTGTATTGTTCTGTCCAAGTTTGTGTGGGTTTCCTCCAGGTGCTCCAGTTTCCTGTCATAACCCAAAGACATACTGGTAGGTTAATTGGCTTCTGGTAAGATTGGCCCTGGAGTGAGTGTGTGTACCCTGCAGTGAACCCTCATCCTGTGCAGGGTGTATCCTGCCTTGAACCTGTTGCCAACCGGAATCGGCTCCAGCTACCCTGCGACCCTTTATTGGATAAAGCAGTTAGAAAACGGATGGATGGATCAGTCCTTGTGTATATGAATGGGTCTGACTGCATTCTGTTATGTCAGAAGAGGAATACAACAAAACATGCTAACCGGAGCACACGAGCTGATCTGTGTTCTCAGCCAAGTCTCAGCCATGCCCAGGAAAACTAAGCTTAAATGCACATTGTGTTGAGTTCAGACCACTGGTAGAAGCTCCTCTTTTGTCATTCTCTGGTGGGGAATAAGTGCAGATTAAGAACTAGAGAGCAGAAATAAAGGGGAAAAAATGGTCTTCCTTATATATTAAGTGCTACACTCTTTGCTTAAGTTATTTAGAAATACAGTGTGTTTGTTGAAAGCTACTGTCTTTGGTGAGAAATGTGATCGTAAGACATGCGCATTGATGGGTGTGGGGTGGCTTATGCCTTTAACATGTTCAGTCACCTCAGGGGTACCGGTGATGTTCCTGGAATGTAATAATAATAAACTTTATTTTATATAGCGCCTTTAAAGGTGGCTTCTCAAAGCGCTTTACAGGATGACGATAACAATAAATAAGAAGAATTCACAAGATAAGACACAATTACAACAACACAACAATAACAATAGAGGAGACCGTGGAAGGTGGTACTAAGAAGAGCAGAGGGGTGAAGAATGGAACCAGTTAAGTAAAGGCTTTTCTGAAGAAGAAGGTTTTGAGTCTGGATTTGAAGGAGTTTAGAGAAGGTGACACTCTGATATCCTTGGGCAAAGAGTTCCAGAGCTTGGGGGCATAACAGGAGAAGGCCCTTTCACCCATACAATGTAGACGGGCTTGGGGGACAGTAAGGAGGGCAGAATTTGAAGAGTGGAGGTTGCGAGGTGGGGAGTAGGGCGATAATAGTTCAGACAGGTATTGAGGTGCCAAGCCATGTAGAGCCTTATAGGTGAGCATGAGGATTTTAAAGTCTATGCGGAATTTGACCCGAAGCCAGTGCAAGGACTCCAGGAAAGGAGTAATGTGAACACTTGCTCCTGGTCAGGATTCTGGCTGCTGAATTTTGGACATACTGCAGTTTGTTCAGAGTAGATTTAGATACCCCAGCGGGTAGAGCATTGCAGTAGTCAATTCGAGATAATGTACAGAAGGAAACCAGAGCTAAAAGGCTAAAAAAACTTTCTCAATTTAAAAGTGTTCACAGTGTCAACGCTGTTTGAAGAAGTAGATGTGATTATACTGAATTATGCATGAGCAGCTTGTTGGTTAAATATTGTCATTTTCCAATCAAAACATCCGTTTAACAGGCAACACCAAATGTTCAAAGGAGACTTTAAAGAGAGGGATAAAATCTATCCAAAGAGAACAGGAGTATTCCCTGTGAAGTTTTTTTTTGTACTTATATTGAAAACATGCAGTGGTTGAATAACTCAAGAAAGACAGAAACTAGGTTCGCTGATAAATTCTGACAATGGGAAGAAGGAAAAAAAATCAAGGCTATGGCTCAAACAATGTCTGGACCTTCCAGCAAATACAATACTTTCATCAGTTGTTGCAGATTGCCCGGATTGTAATTTTTAATTTACTGGTCTCAAAAAAAATAAAAGAAGCTTTAGATTTTAAGAAACAGGCAAGCAACAGAACAGTTATTGTAGGTTTGTTAAAAATGAATGTTCTTATCAGAAATAATCAAAAGCTTTCTTATGAATTCTGGCTGTACTGTAGATCTTTGATCCTTGAAAGCAAAACGGCAGCATGCGCTTCTTTCTCAGACTTGAGTTTTCATCATCCTTGCTCACTAGGGACAGCAGGATGGTATTTATTTTCGCTTTATCAGATGAATGCCGCAGAAGAACGAGAGATCTGGCTTCCCGAGTGGCATTAGTGCGCATTAGTGGAAGATTAGCCTGCTCATTAGCATCTGAACCGACTTTTCAAAACAGGGGTTTTGAAGACAGGTAACGGTCTGTGCGCGGAATTCAAGAAGGATGAAATTTACAAACCAGGGGCATAATTGGCCTGCAACTCCTGGAATCCCCACATCCCCATGTTGTGAAACGTTTAAATAGAGACTGAGGCAGGGGGATCAGTGCTAATAGCTGAATATCAGTGGCAGGTGGTGTGTTCAAGATGTGCGTGTTAAGAGTGGATGACGTCTGGGTGACAGGAGAGGAGATTAATATTAATGCAGTGGGCTTTACTATACCTTCAGGAGCAGAACTTTCACTCCACAGTTTTTCTTGAAAATAGGAAGAGATTCTATTCTCACTCGCACCACAATCAGACCACAACTGGTGCGACAGATGACATGCTGGTAAAATAAGTGTCGGCTGTATTTCTGAGCTCTCACGAGTCTGTGACCGAATTAAACATTTTGCGCACAAGTGCCGAACTGCAGTGAGTGTTGTTAAATGTCAAACACAAAGCCTTTGTGAACCACATTGTGTAACCTTCGCACACCAGAACATTTGCATGTCTGAGTGTCTGACCAGATGTCCTTTAAACGTGTGAATGGGCTGTCTCGGTGTGGGGCCAGCATCGCCTGCAGTTCCTGCAGTTTTGTGTTTCATTACTTCATTGCAATGTCATATGGTCGTTCCAAATTGGGCAGCGCGCTGTTAAATAAAAGCTCGACCGTTTAGCTTTGCATTTTTGAATGCGCACGCTGCTTTTTGGAAAAACAAATGCAAATTTCCTCAAAAACCTTGATCCAAGAACGCTAGGACCAGAGCATTGTCATGTGGGCATTGTCCAGCAAATTTCTGCTTCAAGTACCAGATGATAATGACCATTAAAGAGAACTGGAGGTAGAGGGAAAAGAGCTACAGGTACTTTTCTGTAGTTTTTCTGGTGTTTTTCTTTTCTGTGCATAACTCAACAAGCTGGGTTATATCTTAAGAGGGGGTGGGTAAGGTTGTATTATGGTGGTGTTGTACACAAATGCAGCGTTCATAGTATTTCTACTAAAAAGGAAAGATATTTAAGATCTCCAAACAATTACATGTACTTGCATTGAAAAATGTACAGGTAATATGAACTTGGGAAAAATAAAACATGCTCAAGTTATTTTATATGATTCGCATGAGCTTTAACTTATGCATGATTTTCTTTGGTAGTTAAGGCATACAGTTCCGAAATTATGACAACAGGAAAGATCGCTGTTGATTTTGGATGTAGTTTCAAACTGGGGGATAACCTTTGGTTGGATTTTTGAATATTTTGTAAGGTCTGACTTACTGTAACCTGATGTTTTTGGTAATTCTGAAGGTGGACTTCTGAAGATGCACCGAGAATCAGGGCAAGGATAATACCACTGAAAAAAGTCTGTTTTATGGTTTTAATACTCTGAAGCCAAATGATACCATTTGGTTTCCAGCTAATGGATTGTTTGAAATACCCTGATTGTAACGGCTTGCTATAAGTTGTGCATGTTCTCGTTAAATTTGGGATTGAGTAGGAGTGGCTTAACCATCACATTATCATTAAGAAAAGGAGGTAGTTTACCCTCTACCAAGGTGTGCGGCATTTTTTATTCTCTCTAATAAGGAAGATAAAATTCAAACGGATTCAACCAACGTCTCGTAGGCTAACGTTCTTTATCAGGGGAGAATCAGAAAGGGCACTACAAGTGCTTTCTGAGCCTAGCCAGTAAGAGAGTGCAGCACGGCTTTTATCTGGGGCCTAATCTTCAGTGCTGCCTCCCTGCGAGCTGCTCTCCCTCTGTATACAATTAAGCCAAAGTGAAGAAATAAATCACAGAGCTGACAGAAGGTTGGCGGTGTGTGTCTAGACGGCTACAGTGAGTGGGCAGAGGATGAGGCCAGAGCTTGCTAGAGTGCAGCCGACAGCAGTGTCTGTGTCCCTCCACTCCAGTTATGTGTAGGGTTTTCAGTCAAGCACCTGAAGTTGCATTTTCAAACAGCAGATGTTTTAATAGTAAACAGGGCTCTACTGAAGAGAGGTTTTGTGCAGTCTTTGGCAATGCTCAGGAGAAAATCATCAGTAATAGGGTAGATGGGGGGGTTCACTTCTTGCACATACTATGTACTGTACGTAGCTGTTTATACACATAGCCACGCTGGAATGCAAACCATTCATACAGAAACGAAACGAGTTCAGTTGTCGTCTGTTGTGAGAGACTGCATCATTTCTTTTCCTCCAAATTTAGAATCATCTCTTTTCGATTACCTTGGCTCTTCAACCTTTGAACCCCATCCAATTAAGAATTAAAATAATGAACCGGTGAGTTCTATGAGCACTTGGCTCAGGACATCTTCAGGTTAAGGTTCTCCCCAAATTAGTATTTGTTTTACAACATAAAGGTAGATTTGGGTAGGAAACATTGGATAATTGGGAATATAAACCAAAGCCTAACAGCAATCCAAATTAAGAAAATGGACGCAAACGAGTTTCAAAGGCTTTGCTTGTGATTTCACGTTCATTTTTGTCATAATAAAAAAAACCCAGCATTACTTTATGACCTTTTTTCTAAGTGGTCTGAAATCACTTACTAAATTACATTTTACGTACATTCAATTTAATGAATATTGACATTTTTGGCTGAAAATCTGAGGTCATATATATGAATAGGCCAGCCTGTTTTAGCCATTGGAAGAATATTCTTGTGTACGAATATGAATGTTATAAAGAGGGTACTTTGAACTTGTCTTAATGGTAAACATTAAAATTTCAGTCGCCGTAATTGTTTTCCTTTTTACGCACCTGAAAGCCGGGGAAATGGCTTCTCACTGATGAAACCCTCATACCAGCCCATGGTGGTGTGGGATGAAGATCGGGGGCTTTGTCACAGAGCCCTGCAGTGCCCACGGTGTGATTAACACCCAACACTGAACTGTTGCCACATCCTGCCCGTAGCTCGGCAAGTTCACACGTGCTGTGGGCACTGCGGGCCAATTCTAGCTTACCAAGCCAGACCTGCTGGTGCTGCTGGAGTTCAGCTGGTTGTTCACAGCCGCTTCTGCAGCCCCTCTGGCATCCAGTGCAGTTGGAGAGTCCCGTTCCCATCTAAGTCACTCGTTTCTGAAGATCAGAAACACTCTTAATTAAGAGAGCTCCTTGAGGTCCGTGAGTGCTGATTGAAATGATTTCCTTTTCTTGTCTCCCACAAGTTATTGCCATTATTTTTTTCCAAGTCTTTAGAAATCAGTCATTTAGTGGTGATCAATAAACCTGGCCGAACTGGGGCTCACCATGAGCAGGTGCGTGATCAAGGCCACTCCCTTTGATGACAGTATCTCGTCTGTCGAGTTCGGGCTGTTTCCCGTTAAAAAAAAAATAGATACCGCTGTTGAGAATAACCGAAGTAAACATGCAGTAAAAAAGTAGAGTGAAACACTATATCAGGTTGTAAAAGAGAACAAAGTAGACGGTCACTTCACAGGTTCTTGGTCTGCATGGATCTGCATTGGCCTCGGATCTCTGAATCCTCTTGCTTTCTTCTAAATAGTGCTGAATCTGAAATCGAGCTGTGTGGAACTCAGAGGTGGTGGAACAGTGGCAGTAAGCAGTGCTACAGCTCCTGGGTCTTGGGTTGAGTTCAGGCCTGGTGTGCCTTCTGTGTGATAAGTGGTTTCTTTTCTCCTCCCTGTGTTCTAGCCGGCATTGTCTGTGCGTGCGTCTGCCCTGCGGTGGACGTGTGTTGTGCAAGCTGTAGTCCCACCGTGAGCGCAAGGCTTCTGGGTTAAGCTCTGTTGGTTGGTGAGGTTGTCTCAGTCCTCACCAGGAGTTAAAAGTGTATTTCAAGGATGGATGGATATTACAGTGACAGGAATAGAGACATTGAAGCATCTGTTCTTCTGCCTGCTCTTCTGCGTGTAGGTTTTTGTAGCAGTTGATGTAAAGGAGCAGAATACCGCCTAATGCTGCATTTTGTTTTCCTCTTTTGATTACTCTTTGTAAACAATTCAAGCACATTCCTTAACCTGCTTTTTCTGCCTGTTTTTTTGCAGGTCTACGGGGCTTAATAAACCTAGGGAACACATGCTTTATGAACTGTATTGTCCAGGCACTTACCCACACCCCCCTTCTACGAGATTTTTTCCTCTCAGACCGACACAAATGCGAAATGCAATCCAACTCCTGTCTGGTTTGTGAAATGTCCCAGCTTTTTCAGGAGGTGAGTTGTAAAGGAGGATAATGCTGCTTAATGCTTTTCTGTCTTATCCTGGCAGTGCAATCAGGCACCATTATCAGACCAAGTCAGCTGATATGGCTCGGGTTGCTGTGTTGAAACTGTGGGTGTTGTTCAGTTGCCTTTTTTTTTCAGGTTGCATTTTTAAAATGTTC